TCAATAACTTACATTAATAGAAACATCGAGTACGTCTTGTTTTCTAACGGGATCTGCTACCAGGGGCTTCACCAGGTGTTCCTTCCGTAGTGTCCAGTTGAATGAGGACGGCTCTAGGTTCTTTTTCCGTTGAGGAATAGGGATCCGCCGTTGCTAGTGAGTTTCCTTGTTCTAACAACGTTAACCGGATCCTACTGACTGCGCCAAATGTTAAATCACTAACTTCTTGATTGACTTTTTAAAAAAGATTTATTTCACAAATAAAAGTTACACTTAGTTATACGATAAAATGAAGCAAATAAAATTATATAATACAAATGTTATTAGTAAGAAACTTATATGACGAGTGAAAAATATAATGTTAGTCCTGAATTTATAATCTATCTACAAAATGTGGTGTCGGCATTTCCCACGAAAGGCCAGCTTTGGTCAGAGTTTGATGTCCGTGCATAGTCAGCTATCTCTATGGGAACGCTTGCTAAAAGAATGATGAAATAGGAACTGATATTGCGAAATCAAAGTGTCGGTAACCCTTGAGTGGTTCAAGGTGACTATTTTCACATATATAACATATATATATATATATATATATATATATATATATATATATATATATATATGTAAATAATAATTATGACTGTACTATATGTGGTAAACTACTGTAAGACATAGGCAGACGTGGAATTATATGCATATAAATATACCAAATTAAATGTCATTATAATAATAGTAAATGGTTATCGAGTTTCGAAGATATAAATTAACGGAAGATTTTATGTTAGTTTTGGAGCGCATGAATAAAATACTTCTCCTCAAGAGGCCAACGTTTGTACTTACTTCATTTTTGAACCTTTACCAATGATTCTCCTGAAGCGCAAATTGAACCAAATTTTTTTACATAAACTTTGAATATTCAAAATTAAAATGGCCTAAATATAACCCCTTATTGTTATAAACAAATAAGCTGTGAATTTAAAAAAAAAAAAGTTGGCTATCTTTGTGTTGAATATGTAGAAATAATTATTTTGTGAACAATATATAAGTGAAAAATTAGCAAATTTTTGGAAAATTGTTATTCAATATTTTTTTACTAGTTTTAAAGAAAAAAACTTTCTTTTTCATTTGGTAACCGAAAAATTGTTCTAACTGTAGTCGTTCCTGACTTATGTTATTGTAGAAAACAGCTTTTTAAGATAAACAAGTAGAATAAAATTTATACAATTCAACGAATTGCTCGGAAATTTTTATCACATATCAAGCATTACGAGACCCAACTTTGAAGAAAATTTCAAAGCCTTAGGAGAGTTTTCCCAATAGTTATAAATAAATTAATTTTTTTCAAAATTTTGCTCTTTTGTATGTTCTTAAAAATGGTAATGCCAATAAACCTTTAAAACCTTCTGTTTTTCAGTGATTAAATAAAAAAGTACACTATTTGTCACTAATCTGTTTATAAATAAAGATTATCAATAAATCTCACGCAGGAAATGGTTAGAATATGTTTGTACAAGTTCAAAAAACCTTTCAGTACCATTTCTTTGTAAGTGTCACAAACGGTATGTTTTTGCCTTATTACCCTGATCTATAAATGTGATGTAAATTTCAACAACATTCCACCTCGTCCAATACCGATATCGAGAGCGAAGTGAGAACTGTTGTGTTATGATTTATCAAATAGTAAATATTTGTTTGTTTGACAGTGACGTGCAACATGGACAAAACTTTATGTCTATTGATGCAAAAATACATTTTCTATTCGTTTTCAAAGACTTTTACCTATATAAAAATGAAGTTCTAATAGTTCGAAAGACTTAAACAATTTTAAAATGTATAGAAATATTGGATTTTTGCCTTATTCGTAGGCATATAGTAAATAGTTTCGATTAAATATTATTGTGGTTCTTAAGATGATAAGATAATCGTAGTAAAAGATTTATAGTCTTTTTTCCTCTTTTGATTTCGTTTTTAACATAAAACTTCAATGGAGTAAAACCTTCTGATGTATAATGGTATATGTTTATTAAACTTTTTAAATTATTCAAAAGGATTAAAAATTTCAGAACCTTTTCAGTCCTATCGGACCATCATCAATGAAAACACTTTAAAAGATAGTTAAAACTAGCCACATAGCAAGGTCTTTTAACCCTTAGATTACATGATAATAATATTAAATTCCCTGCTCGAAAAAAGAACCAAATTGTTATGTGGCTAGTTTGAACTACTTTTTAAGATGTTTTTACTGATGATTTCTCTTCTTCTCTAATAACCATTGCAAGTTCGTCTCTATCTTCTGTTTTTCTTAAGAGCGTCTGTGTGTTTAACCTGGTACAGTCGTGAATGTTTTTCAGCCAGGATATTTGTCGTCTACCAGGACCCTTTTTTCCTTCGATTTTACCCTTCATAATCAGCTGCAACAACTCGTACTTATCATTTATAAGTATGTGCCCCAAATATGCTGTATTTCGCCTTTTAATGGTGGTCAAAAGTTCTCTGTCTCTTCGACACCGTAAAGAAGAATAGAGTGGATATAACATTTTACCATCCCATATCGGATTTGCAGATTGGGTTTTTGGTTACTCAGAAATTTCCTCATCTTCAAAAAGACTGCTCTTGATTGCTCTATTCTTGATGATGATTTAGTGGCTTCAAACATGTAAATCCAGATAGCACTGATGTTGGAATAGTTATTCCGAAAACGTTTTGTGATAAAGGAATTTTTTAAATAAAAATGTTTGTGATAGAAAGTATACAGCTAACTACAGGAATTTAGTTTCCTTGTGAATTTTAAATCTAACACTTCTTTCCGTGTCCTAGTGACAAAAATTGGTATGTTTCCTATATTGGATATAAATTCAAAATAGATTCAACCCTTGCATTAATGTGTGTGCTGTTGGCGCGTTGGTGCGTTGGCATCATCGTATAATTAGCTATAATGCTTTACCTAGGTAACATGCAACTATTTCGCTTATCTTATAATGCTTGAACCTAGAGCCTCATTACCCATAAAGTATCCTGAACACACCACCAGTTTCTTCTCTTTTACTTTCATGGTTATAGTTAGAACACCTGTAACAATATCATCGGTGCAGAGTACCGGGATTAGTGTACAATCTACTAATTTATTGTAAATTATGCACGACCTTGGCCCTATAGCTTTAGGTATGTGTAAAACTCTACTTTGTTTCGTGGATAAGCCAGCAATCTTCTCGCCTATCCTCCAGGGCATCTGCAAGAAGGCAACATCAATACCTTCTTGTTCCACTCTTCTAATCAGCCTCGCCGATGCGGCTTTTTGCGTGTTAAGAATTAGTCTGCAGGAGTCTTATTTGTCGTTTTACTACGAAAAGTTGTACGGTTCTGGTTCGTGAGATTTCCTTCTTCTTCTGTGGATTAAACACACTCTTGGACAGCAGTCCTTACGAGTGGGTACGTTCCTCTTCCTGAACCCGCATATGTAGAAAAGTTTCTATCCTTTTAGATCCTTAATCGATAAGTGAACGTGAGCCCACGGTCACTTATCTATTAAGGATCCTTTTGGACTCTTCTTCATTCTGTACGAAAACAGTGCGTGAGTACGGCTTGAATATATGTTCCCTCTCCAAAGCCTTGAGAGATCCCAACGCCTCAGGGTTGGAATCACCTCCTTTAGCCAACTCGCACTTGTGTCATCTGCACAATTAAGTTCTAGGAAGCCTGGCCTGTTGCTACTCTTCAGAAACCGAACCTAAGGTCCTGCTTCAAGAAATTCTTCATAAGCCACCAAGATGGTTTTTTGGACTACATTAAGCTTATTTTAGCAGATAGAGTACAGAAAAGTAGCAGATTTCTATTGAGTGAGCCCACGGTCACTTATTTATTAAGTATCATTTTGGACTCTTCTTCATTCTGTACGAAAACAGTGCGTGAGTACGGCTTGGATATATGTTCCCTCTCCAAAGCCTTGAGAGATACATTCTCCCAACGCCTCGGGGTTGGAATCACCTCCTTTAGCCACCTCGCACTTGTGTCATCTGCACAATTAAGTTCTAGGAAGCCTGGCCTGTTGCTACTCTTCAGAAACCGAACCTAAGGTCCTGCTTCAAGAAATTCTTCATAAGCCACCAAGATGGTTTTTTGGACTACATTAAGCTTATTTTTAGCAGATAGAGTACAGAAAAGTAGCAGATTTCTATTAAAGTCACACCCGGTTCTTGGCCTTTTACTTTTACGTTGCCTTTCGGGTGGTGTGCTTCCGTCTTACCTTGGGCTTTTTGGACCTTCGGCATTCCGAGTTTATTTTGGTTTATCATTGCCACTAATGGCTTTGACAAAAACTTTTTTTGTGGTTCCCTGTCTTTCAGAAAGGGAGATTCTTTAGAACTTCCTGGCCTTTCAGCGTTTGGATTTTCTTTAGAAGTTTCCTGCCCTTCGGCTTTAGGAACCGTGATTTTGGCTTCAGAGTTTTCTGGCCTTTCGGCCTTGGAAGCCCTTTGGACTGAGTTTTTTTATTTCGTTTGGCCATATTGGTCCCACGAGTAGTTAGGGAATGACAGTAAACCCGCTTGCGAGGATAAGGTCTAAATACGATGGTGTGCCACCTGTCACCTTAGTACCTTACAGCCTTCACTGCGGTCTCTCACGGCTTTACTTGGGTAATATTTATCAACTATCTCCAGTCTAGATCCGCTGGATTTATTTTCAACAGGGCCTCCTCGTGAAGAGTGCAGTCAAAGATTGCACATCCGTAATCATTGTTGGCAGTACCCAGCGATCTTGGGACGGATTAGGAAGTTCAGAATCCTAGAACTCTTCATGTAAAATCCATCCCCTGGGATATATTCCTTCTCTGCTCGGCTTTGCGCTGATTAGACAAGAAACGCACCCCTAGCCTACAACGATAGTTGTATATATTCAAAACATTATTCTTCTTCATGTGCCATGCCCTTAAAAAACGTCGATAACTAACTTCATTACGTTCATATTTCTTTCTATTGTAATATATTAACGTTAATCATTTTTAGGTTGTATGTACAGTATGGCAGCTTTTGGTCCAGTACTTGGATTTTTACTGGGAGCCTATTTATTATCTTTTCACATGGATTCGTTTACTCACATCATCTCCATAGGTATAATAATGTAATTTGAAATAAATTTAGACGACTAATATAAACATTTTATTTTTAGATCCCGGAGATAGCAGATGGGTTGGCATGTGGTGGGGAGGGTTTTTGTTGTGCGGATTACTGCTGATAATCGTTTCAGTTCCGTTTTTCTCATTTCCAAAAGTTCTCACCCATGAAAAGGAAAAAATCCGACTTATGGAAAAAGCTGCTGCGGCAGTTTCCTCTTCCGGTACTAGTACTGCTGCGGCTATTGTTACTAATAAAAATACTAATGCTGCTACAGTTAACGATACTGGATACGGAAAAGATGTTAAAGGTAAGATTTTAATATTAATAATATTATATATTCATTTATTTGCCTTGTTTCGACTATTGTAAAACATAGTAAAGTATCTCAGTGAAAGATCATTAGCGAATTAGATATGTATTTGTAATGCCTTTGACTGTGTTAGTGAAACGAAAAGTGGATATACTGTATGTACGTGAATGTATTGAAAATTGTTTGCCTAGTCAGAAGTAAACAAAATTGGGAAGTTAAAGTCTTTTATTATTTAATATACTCTACTTTTAATTGGATACATTTATTACAACGAACACGTTGTATAGGAATTATAATGAAGTTGTTCCACTCTTGGGGCATTTCTTCGGCATCTCACATTTCTATTATTAGCTCACAAAATTTGTTTATTAAAGCCTCTCTTCTATATTTTAAGTTATCTGCCACAATGCCGCTCTCTCCGGGGCTTTTTTGATTTTTCATATCTTTTATCATTTCTTCAATTTCTTTTTTTAGGGGCTTTGGTATTTCTTCTACTACTATTTGTGTTTTAGGAAAATTATAATTTTCTTCACTAGTCACTCCGCAATTTAGCAGCTCTTCGAAAATTCTTTCCATTTTTTACATATTTGGTCTTCGTCTACTATTAGGTTTCCTTGCTTTTCTTTTGCATTCATGGTTTTTTCCTGGTACCCAGTTTTAATCTACATATTTTACCTCTTTGTAAAAATTTGTTTTTCATACGCTTTACTTTATCATTCATATACTTTTTTTCTTCGTTCGGCATACCTTTCTAGATTGTCTAGTTTTTGCGATCGCAAACTTCTTAATCTCAAATCTGATCTTTTTTAACTCTGTTTAACAATGACTCTAATTCTTTATAAAATTCATCTTTCACTTCTTCTTCTTTTTCTTTCTTCTATTGGAGCGTGTTTATTTTTCAGCGATATCATGTTCTTATTTGCTTTTATTCTAATTGCGCACATTCTGTCGGATTTTGTTACAAATCGTTTTACCTCATCCACGTCTTCATGTACCAGAAAATCCACTCCAAAATTCTTATTATCGTCTCTACTTGTATAAAACTTGTATGGACTAATATTTTTAATGTTGTTTCCAGTCAAATGTGTTTCTTGTATTGCTATGATGTATATTTTATAGTTCTTAAGTTCTATCAAGTTAATTAATGCTCACTCCTCGTATACTCCTCGTCCATTCCATGTCGCAATATTTAGGTTCATCAATATGGTCCGTCAGCATAATAGGTCGTCTTTTTCTTTTTCCACTTCTATATACCATTTTTTGGGTCGATATTTCTAGAATTTTCCAGTTTGAAAATACCATTTTCGGCCCATTCCCATTTTATGCCATCCACAATTAATTTTTCGTACCCTATCTTCATGTTTTTACCGTACAATATCCTGCCTCATGTGTCTTTCCTTTTCGTTCAGGTCATCATTCATGACGATCTTTTGTCCAGTAAGAAATCTGAGTTTGCTTTTTTCTATCATTATTTTTTTTTCGCCATAATCTTTTATTTGTACCAGATATATGTTGTTTCATAGTTTCATTGCAGATTATATTTTGACATCCTCTTTTTGATGCTTTTGTATAAAATCTTGTACGTTATTTTTTAAGAGTGTTTCATCTGTTGCGACTATTGGCGGACCCCTAATTACTATGTTATTTCTTTTCATCTGTTTTTCAATTTTTTCTACTTTATTTTCAACCTTGGTTAATGTGTTCTTTGTTTCTTCCAATTCTTGCTTTATCATTATATTTTCTTTTTCGGCGCTCTATTATCTCTTCTCTATATTTCTTATTTTTATTCCTGAGTTCTTTCAATTCTTGCATCATCTTCTTGAACATGCTCATAACGTCTTCTTCTTCCCTCGGTTTACTTTTGCTTGGGGCTCTGGTAGGTTTTTTGCTCTGCAGGAAAGAGGAAGTTGACCCTCTATATTTTCTCTTCTTGCCTTGTGACGCATAAACATCACGGTGCGTGTACATCACATCTTTAAAGGATGGTCTGATATATTTCAAAAACCATTATCACATCTATTTAATCTATCTCTTAAAACTAACACCTTTCCAGACAAACTCAAAGAGGCTACCATTACTCCAGTTTTTAAATCAGGTAATAGAAACAATATAGAAGACTATCATTCTATAAGTATCCTTAATTCCCTTGCTAAAATATTTGAATCTATTCTCTATGTGAATACACTGAAAAATTTTGAAAATGAATTTGCTCCAGAACAACATGGTTTTTTGCCTGGCTTATCCACAACTAGTAATATGTGCATTATGTCTAATTTTGCTAGTGAGGCAATAAATAATAAACTCCAATTAGATTTAATAATGACTGACTGCTCAAAGGCATTTGATATGGTTGATCATGGCATTCTTTTATCGAGATTGAATGAGTTTGGTTTTTCTCATGATGCTTGTACATTTATAAAATCGTTTTATGGAATCAAGGTTTCAACGAGTCAAAATTGATAGGTGTTCAACCAAGGGTGCAACTTAGGGCCTTTGTTTTTCTTAATTTTTGTCAACTCACTACCACAATCTCTTAAATTTTCTTCTAGTTTGATCTATGCTGATGATTTTAAGCTTTTTAAGACTATACATACTTCAAATGATTGTCAGTTACTACAGGAGGACCTGACCTCAGTTGAGGAATGGTTTGGGGACAACAATATGATCTTGAATATTAAGAAGTGTGGAGTCATATCTTTTACTCGCAAAATCGACTACATTCAAAATAATTATAGAATTGACAATTGTGTAGTATCTAGGAAAACCAAATGTAAAGATCTGGGAATATTCCTACAGGCTAACATGAAATTTAATGAACACTATATAAATATTGTTAATAAGGCCTACAAAATATTGGGATTTGTAATAAGAAATTCCAAACACTTTAGTATAAACACAACCATTAGACTATATAACGCTTTAGTCAGACCAAACTTGTAATATGCATCAGTGGTATGGACTCCTGAAGCCAAAGTTCATATTAATCATATAGAAAAGGTACAAAAAAGATTTCTAAGGTATTTATATAAATATAAGACATGTGGTTTGATAAACTTTATTAGGTTTCATGTGTCAAAGGTCAACCTAAGGGTAAACAGTAATGACCTATTTTCTTGTAGTCCATATAATTCTTGTGCAATAATAAACTATATGCAATATCAGTGTAATGAGTTAATAAAGATCTGTGATATAGACCTCTTTACCTATAGTGAAAGGGATATTAAAAAATGTTATGAATAGATAAGAATGGACTCAATTTTTAAAATTTTTATTAACATGTGTCTTTTTTTAATGTACTTTACTTTTTGTGTTTTTATTTTGTACTTGTGTGTATATTGTTATACCAAGTAATGAGCACTCTTACATGTAATTACTACCTAGGTGGTGTTTGTAAGTTTTAATAGATAAATAAATAAATAAATAAACATCTGTTTCTAAAGACCGCGAAAGGAATTAGAACTGCTTAAAAATCCAGTTCCTATCGTTCCTCCATTAGCAGAATTATTTTTAACTTTGGCAACGTCGCAACTCCAACGGACAGTGTTTCACCAATATGACTGTTTCGCGTTATAAATAACTTCAGTTACACTTGTCACTGTAAACACTAGTTTTTACTGGAAGAGATTTTTTTTTCATAAATTTATCACTGCACTACTATGAAGCTTTTCTAAATTCACATAAATGTAAACAAACCGTAAATTATTTTTCGCTACTAATCACGATATTTGGTTTTTTTCTAACGATAATGCATTTATCAATCCAATTAGAGCGTTTCGGATATTTTACTGTGTGCACGAAATGAGTATTTTTGTGTATTTTCCCGTTGGAAAGCTTTTCGATATAGGAATGTGCAAACCATTTCGCTTCATAATCGATCGATGCAGATTCCGGGGGTCCCACCCTGTATACGTATCAGAAAATGTAATTTAAAATATATTTATTAGTTTAATAAAGTATACAGTTTTAAAATACAAACTTTTTAAGAAAATCCACGCCTCTTATTTGACTACTTGAAGACAATTATTTGTAAACATATGTATTTTATATTAAATATCTAATGTCCCTCTGTTTTATTCTTTTTTTCATTATAAATTAAAATAAAAAAAGGTAGTTTTACTTGTAATAGAGCCCCGCCGTAAAGATCTTTGTACGGTCCTATACTTGACCACTACATGGACCTGATTGTGCTGCCAATCACATGGCATGAAATCCGGAAAATGCGTATTCCTATCCTAACCGTACTACACTCTCAGTGTGAGTTTAACTATAACCTAACTAGATATAAATAATCCTGGTATACAGATTTAGGTAAAAAAATATATAAACTATTCATTTAGAAATGCAAAGGAGATATCTTGTTGAATCGCAAAAAGAACGATAAAAGACGATGACGAACGGGTCAATATATATGTCCATAGTTAATACATAAAGCACATTTTAAATGAAGCTCGCATTAAATGGTTTAGTTTTACTTGAACTTGAAATCAATACTTAGTTGACCTATTTAATAAACTTACACGAAAATGTTTGTTTGGCATTGTATTAAATATTTTAAAGAAAGCTAGATATTTTCTTCTATAATCAACGTGGCATGATAAGGCGATCGACTGATATAAACTTAAGAAAACTTTCGTATGCAAATGTCTGCAAATAAATTTTTCTTTTTCAGATATTCCGAAGTCAATGTGGCGACTTGCCAGTAACCCAGTTTATATTGTAACATGTTTAGGTGCCTGCATGGAACTTGTCATAGTATCTGGATTTGTTGTTTTTTTACCTAAGTATTTAGAAACTCAATTTAGTTTAGGAAAGAGTCAAGCAAGTGTTTTTACTGGTAAGTACTATCATTTTAACATAAACGATGTTGTGTTTTTATATTTTGTTTTATTATTGAACCTAGGTTTTCATTAAGTTGTTGCGAATTCCATAAACAGTATAAAGAAAGAAGTAATATATCTTCCTTAATAGGAATAGTATTAATTCAGAAAAAAAGATTATACGTACTTTTAATTAAGTACACTACACTTAGTTTAGAATTTAAACTAGTTTGTATAAATTAAATAATATTGTCAATGTCACATCGTTTAAATCAAATTGGTACGTCAGAAACAAAATATTTGGAGCAAATAATCAATATATCATGTTGAATTATTTACGAAACAATTGGTAACGAAAATCATTGGCGTAGTTATTACCTTTGATACACAGGAGCGGACTAAAGACTATGTAACCTGGCCCGTGCCAGGGCCCGTAATTTTTGAGGTCAAAAATTATGCTTTTAATTTTTATAATTAATTTTTATTTTTACCTAACAGAAAATGTATCCAAATTATGCAGAATTGTTGATTTAAAACGTCGACAAGTGTAGACGAGCGTTCCCGTGCTTATGCATCCACACCCGCGGGTGTTGATATGTGTAAATACGATCGAGCCTCGCACCAACAACTTATTGTGCTGTTATGTCTGTAAATTATTTCCAAGCAAACAACACTAATAACAAAAGGGACGAATGATTGGAAAAATGTACATAAAAAATTGTCAGAGCATGAAAACTCCAATGACCACATTAACTCCATTTTAAATTTTATAACAAGATCTAAAATTACCGGGCGCATACTTGACTGGAAAAACAAATAATAAATGAAAAAAAAATGGAGGGAAGTACGTAAACGTGTGGTATCGACAATCATATTTATTTCTTTATACTCTTTCGCGTTTCGTGATAAAAATGAAGAGTTTTTTAGTGAAAGTAACGGTAATTATGTAGATGATTTGGAATATATCCCAGTTCGATCAATGTTTGCGAGAACACATAAAAAAATATGCAAACTTCGGCACCGGTACCATAAATTATTTGTCGTCTACGATATGTGCTGAATGTATTTCTATTATATCGAAAGATTTGCAACACTCAATAGTAAACGAAATAAAGGAAGCCAAATTTTACTCTCTAATTATCGACTGAACACCTGATATATCTCTCATAGATCAGCTAACCGTCATTATTCACTAGGTTCTTCCACGTTGTATAAAAAAAAGATTTTTAAGATTTCTACCTATGTTTTCTACTACTTGTAAAAACTTTTTTTTACGAGAAAGTTATTCAAGAATTTTTAAATAATTTGGATTTAGACAAAATACTAATTCCTAAATACAGCAGTTTGAATATACAGTGAACGGCTAAATTATGGAATATTATCATTATTTCGAGAACCGCCGAGTTTCGAGGGAAATCCCGAAACACGTCGATTTTTCTTATAAAATACCCATCTTATAACGTACATGGAGTAGGGATGACGTCACCATGTAGGTGTAGTGACGTAATCGTTAATTTTTTAAATATAAATCGGTATAATGCGACACCTCATTTGAAGGATAATTAAATTATCTATTTAACGACATTACATTTTTAACTAAAATATTTTTAAGGGTACAAAAACAATTTTTTTTAATTTAAATTCAACTAAATTACAACTAATGATTTAATTCATAATGTATTTTAAAGTAACCAAATTATGCATAACAATTATTTTAAATTAAATGTTCGAAATGCCATCCATTGGTTCCTGTCATGACTTTCTGAAGTAAATACTTTAAAAAGCCAAAATAAGTAAAAATAATAACGGGCACAAAAGTTATCTCATAAACACTGAAACTTTTTGTTCAAAATGTTAATTCAAGCAAGTGATAGTGGCATAGTTACTGTAATATTTACTGACGTAAATGTTTTGATTTTGTGAATTGTCATCAGTTGTCAATTGTAATCTTTACTTTTGAGTACTAAATTATGGCTCACCTAAATGAAACACAACGCATAGAAATATTAATTCTTAGGGGATTCGGAGATAAAAAAGAACACAGAACGAGGTATGCAATTTATTCAACGCAAAATATCCAGACAGACCCATCAGCCAATCAACAGTAAGTAAAATAGTCCGAAAATTTGGAGAAACTGGGCACGTTAAATATAATCCAAACACTGGGCGTCCTAAAATTGAAAACAATGTGAAACTTGATATGTATTAAATGTACATGACACTCCTCAGAGTAGTTCAACACAAATGGGTGAATATGCTTATGAAGTTTCCCAACGATCGGTATTACGTATTTTAAAAAAATAAAAATACCATCTATAAAAAATTCAACTACATCAGGAATTACACGACGACGATCCCGATCGCAGACTTCAATTTTGTGAAATTATGCAAGATTTATGTATCTGTAATCCACATTTCATCAACCAAATCTTTTTTTTTTCCAATGAAGCCACATTTTTTATACATGGTACTGTGAATCGTCAAAATTGCAGATATTGGAGTAAAAAAAACCACATTGGATGACTGAGTCACACACGTAATATCCTCAGAAAGTAAATGTATGGGCAGGGATCATTAATGACAGAATCATTGGCCCTTTTTTCTTTGAAGAAAATCTAACAGGATAACGTTATTTAACTTTTTTGAGAAATCAACTTATACCTGTCCTTGCTAACATGTCTCCAAATTACCAATAATCCAAATTTACCTAGTGAAAATATCTGGTTTCAACAAGATGGAGCATTACACACCTGAAGTACGTCAAAACTTACAGGACTTGAAAGATAGAATTAGTCATGAAATGAGTCTAATTACTCCAGAAGTCATCCGTAATGTACTTGATGAATGTACTCCGTAGATTCGCGTATTATCAAAAAACCGATGGATGGCATTTGGAACATTTAATTTAAAATAATTATTATGCATAATTGGTTACTTTAAAGTACATTATTAATTAAATCATTAGTTGTGATTTAGTTGAATTTAAATTAAAAAAAATTGAACAATCGTAAAATAGTTTCGAAACACAATTCAGATTTCTGCTTTATAATCTGAGCCTTCTAAGAATTGGAAGGCAAACAGACGTTGATAAAAGATGTTAAAAGAGACATGGGGAATCTAAAATTTGCATTCTACGACATGTCTTTTACAACTAAGCAGAAATCCTTAGCGAATTGTGCTTCTAGTACTCCCACAGAGTAAATCCGAATAAAATGAGAAAAGGCAGCAAATATTTGATTTCACGCAAACAAATCCTATGTATCTCTTGATACGTATTTCGACCTAATAGGTCTCGTCAGAAGAGCTATTCATAGGGGTTCTCAACGTGAAAAATCAATATTTTCTGCCTTTTAAGAAGCAACAATAACATAGATAGATAGATAGATAGATAGATATAGTTTATTTGACTGTAAGTTACAACTAGGTTTACAGCAAGTCAAAACTAAAATTATAAATATTAAATATTACAAAAAATGAAAACAATACATTAAAAATATTTAAGACATTAAAATACTTAAAAAAAACGTACAGCATAGACATATAATTAAAATATTAATAAATTTAGTTATGTTGCAGCTTAGGCATTCACAGATACACCCTCGTAATATTCACCTAATGTATAAGGACACATGGTCACTAGGTACTCTTTGACTTGGTTTTTAAAAGCTGTAGTTGAATTAATGTTTTTAAAATTTTGAGGAAGTTGATTATACAGTTGTAAACCACAGATGGTAGATGACTTCCTGCTTATTTCTAAATGTCGATAGGGTACTACAAACTGTCTCTTATTTCTTGTGTTGTGTGAGTGAATATCACTGTTACATAAAAAAGTTCTTTTATTTTTATGAATTAGTATCAATAATTCCAAAATGTAAATTCCATACACTGTTAATATATTCAAATCTCTAAATAGGTTTTTACAAGACCAACCATACGGAATACCTGCTATACATCTGACAATACGTTTTTGGGCCTTGAAAACGTCCTTTACACTAGAAGAACCACCCCAGACAGTTATACCGTAACTTATTGTCGATTGTACCTCAGCAAAATAAAAAAGACGAAGGTGTTGCAGACTAAGTATTCTACCCAAATTTCCCAATTGATAACATTTAGAATTGAGTTTTTTACATACATTCCAACAATGAGTCTTAAAAGATAAATGAGAGTCGAAAGTCACTCCTAAAAACTTCACATCACTACAACTCAAACTATCCTCACCATTGATGGAAATACTTAAATCAGGTTTGGTTGAATTTGAACGTGATGTAAATGATAAAAATTTAGTTTTGTGAACATTGAACAGGAGCGACTGATTACTGGACCAATCAGACAAGGTCTTCAGAGAGCTTCAGAGAGACATGGCTTCAATACGGACGCACTAGCGACATCTAATTAAACAATCGTAAAATAGTTTCGAAACACAATTCAGATTTCTGCTTTATAATCTGAGCCTTCTAAGAATTGGCTTAGAAGGCTCAGATTTTATTTTTGATTTGATGATAAATTTTAACATCTTTTATCAACGTCTGTTTGCCTTGCAATTCTTAGAAGGCTCAGATTATAAAGCAGAAATTTGAATTGTGTTTCGAAACTATTTTACGATTGTTTAATTAGATGTCGCTAGTGCGTCCGTATTGAAGCCATGTTATTGTTGCTTCTTAAGGCCTATCCTCGAGAATCCTAACGGTAAAATTCAGTGAGCTATCTATTTCAAAAATATCTTTCTTTACGAAAACAAAATCCATTCACGAAGAATATTCTAAACGTCATCTGGTACTAAATTTTATATGTTTACCTACTTACAACCACCTATTGTGAAAAGTCTTGGGTGTATACAATAAAGCGAGCGGGAGATCTTCTATTCATTGCGATTATGGGGTAATTAGAATAATACGAGTATACCAGAGTAATATTATTTATTGAATAATTAATTCACAACTTAGCAAGGGTACATACAGGTAACAAATAATCGTCCTGTAAATAATTCATAACAATTAAATCGAACACAAACTTT